TGAGGGCAGAGGCAGGAGATGCCTTTCACAGTTCTCTGCTTCTCAGGCACCAACATTTGCTTCATGTTAACAAGAGCCAGCCCCCGGAAATTTCCTCCTATCTTTTTAAGTAGCTTGCCAGACAGTAGCCTGATCAAAGCAATCTAATATGGCTTAAGTGCCAGCGGTTGACATTTTGCATCTTTTATTGCTTTCCATTTTTATCTATATAAAAAGTGGGTGATAACTAATATCCAGTTGATCTTTTTTATTCTGGTAATAAAATGATAATAGAAAGATCTTATTATCCACTCTAGACATCCATCAAACTACATTTTCCAATAACACACTACTCAAGAGTTTTTTCCCTGTATCCAAGTCATAAGTGAGGTTAAGTACTCACCCTTAGATTCCCTTTCTCACCAATATTTCGGCACTGAACTGCAAACAGAAGTTGAATTTAACCCCTTCACACTTTGTTCACATTAAAGCCATCTGCAATTTTGTTGTCTCTGCATCTTAGATAAGCCATTTTCTGTGAGAAGCCAAACGTAGTTGGAAGGTCTGCCTACTAAAATATTTTTTAACCCCCAAAGAGTTTTTATTATTATAAGAAAACAAAAAGAAAATGATTAGGAGGAAGCAATAATGAAAATGAAGAAGAGGAGTACATCTTGGTAGGAAGGAAGAGCAGGTGCACAGGAGAAGATACAAATGTACAATGCATAAAGAAAGCCAAATAATGCAAGCAAACAAAATTAAAATCCATTTTTATATGGATGCAGAATTGGCTCCAAGCCTTCCGGTGGGCAAGAAAGTCTTCTGTAATTATTCCATTGATGTGGAAAAAGAAAAATAATAGAAAACAGCAACAAAAACAAAAAGCACAAAAGCCTTCCTACATCCACTACATATTTAAAGTTACTTATCTTACAATTAGGACTCACCTATAGTTGACAGGAGCAAGTTTACTTTTCACATTTTCAATGTTTTTAAACCTTTGAAGATTATATCACTAACAATGTTTAAGATTACTAGAAGTAGAAAGAAAAGATTTGGGACTATTTAATCATGATATATACCACTACGAAGGCCAAATTCTCATTAAAAAGAAATTGTAAAAAAGCACATAGCCTAATGAGTTTGGATGTATTGTCTGGAATTGCTGGGAACCAAATCTGAAAATGAAATAAGCTTGGTAACTCTCAAATAGCATTACCAGATATTAGGCTATGTGCTTTGGCAGATAAAAAGAATGCAGAATGAGACCAATGTTCTGTACAAACCCTACTAATAATACACTTGAGAAAATTTCACAAAGAATATAAAATTCCTGTTGCATTCTTTATAGTTTTAAAAAGACTTATTAAGTCAATTAATACTATGGACCAGGCAAGAGACTGTCATACATGCATCTTTTCATGCAAATAATTCATGTGTTAGTCACAAAAACACTTTGTTCAGTCTGACTTGAATTTTCTTGATAATAATTTATTAACATTTAGTTTATGTTAGTATAGATTTATATAATGCTTTTTATAAAACAGTCCAGGATTTTTTTTATTAATTCAAATAGTTTTTCCTCATTATGTTAAAAGAATGTGATTTTATAGTCCTTTCCCATCTACCTTTATTAAAGTGTCCTTCACCATACAAGAAAGAAATTACCTGCATTAAAAGATGGTGTCTCTTTTAGTAACTTTCATATAAAATTACTGAACCATGTTAGCCTGTCTTTCTCAGTGTTGGAGGAGATGGAAGAGGCAAAGGAATCTGACTGTCCCTTTATTCTCATCCTGGACAGAGGAGAGTGGAGAGCTATAGACAATATACGTCTGCGCTCCCCTTCTGGTCCATGCATTTGCAAAAACTAACCTTAATCTAGTTCCAAATTGCAGATAGCAAACATATCTTAGCAATTATGTAAGGCAATGTACAGCAGTGAACTGAGATTGGTTTGGGACAATTGGTGTGCAGGCATATTCCATGTAATTTGAAAGACCATAACGTATTTTGACACTGAAATGACCACTATTCATAAGGACAACTGCTTTTTAAAAAGTACCCTATCCACTCATGAAAACAACTTTTGATTTTTAAGTGAAAAGAGGCTGTCTTTTTCCACTTAAAGATTCTTTACAGCTTTTCCTCTAAGGGGGAAAAAGGTGGCAACGAGGAGTCTCACAAAGACAGTCTTTGGAATTCAAATCTGCCCTTTCTCAGAGGAACCTTAACAGCCTGTCAATGGAAGATTCTATCGCTGTATTTAAACTACTGACACTGGAGTGGCTAAAAAAAAATCTATCTGCCATCTCTTACAGTCCTGCAGGTTTGAATACATGCAGCTAGATCTTCTCTCCTCACCTACTACCATTCTTCAATACCAAAGATTGGATAGCCTGATACTACGTGTATTTTCTTTTCCATATCAAATACAGATACTGTGAACTTGGGGGTGGGAAAAGAGAAAATGACTATAGGAAACAGCAGAGAAATTCTAAGTAAATGTTGACTAATTTGTCTGAGAAGGTTTCCATTCAAACTTAATCATTAAGAGTTTAATATTAGTTCTAAACATAAAATAATCTTTGCTATAGTTTGTATATTTCCTGTTTTATTTTTCTCAACAGATATCAATTAAGGTATTTCATGTTAATCTTACAATACAGTTAGTATCTTAGATATAGCACAATTTTTAGATATGGTAGTGTTCTACAGCTATGATTTAATAAATGTGCATTAATCTCAGTCTAGACAAACCTATGGCTCACAGAGAATACATGTAATAAATCAGTCTTTTGTTAAACTACACCTTATACTGAGATATAAATATTTTTGATTTATTTTTGCTGGGCAGGAAATGTACTCCAGGTGAAAATCTCTGCTCATTTAATTACTATGAGTTATGTTTGCATTATTTGCTATATAAATTCTTCCCTTTCTTCAAAGTTGAGTCTTCTTTACAGAACTTAGTTTTCCCACTATATCTGCCCACTATTTCCCAAATAAAACAAAGGCAAAAGAAAAAGAAAGTGTTACCTGGTCATTGAATTTTCTTTCCAGTGACTGCTGTCAAGTTAAGGCATTTGCAGTCCTGCCCAAGCTGTGCACTGAAAGCTCACAATCATTCATTTAATTCAAGTAATTTAAATGTTACACATACTCTTCAAAAAGGGAAAAACATTCACTAACCAGCAAAAACTTTTTTCCTCAATGATATTAATTGGTGGAATATCCAGGGGGGAAAAAAGACTATCCTTTATACCAGAGTCTCATGAGAAAAGCCAAATGAGGAAACAAGTCTAGCAAGGGTATTTATGCTATAAACACATACTTTAAAAAAAAACAACTAATGTAGCTAAAAAACAGAATCACATTTGATTTGGTTAATTTTCATCAATTTCTAGAGTTTACATTGTTACATTTTATAAATTTAAACATCCATACTTTATTATATGCTTAATAAAAGTAAACTAAAAAGAATAATAAGGCAGAGGTCTAGAAGGAACATTTTCTCCACATAAATTTTCTAAGATTTAGGAGGAATTAGGAAAATCAAGACAGTTGCAACTGAGGCACAAATCTGGCTTCAGGAGAGAGTAATTTGTGAATTGTCACTTTGTCTGCTTCTATGCCCCAGAGCTGAAAGCAAACTGGGCCATCATATTAGGCCTGCAAAAGAGTACTCCTTTTCAGAAAGTGTGAAAGAGATAAGGTTGGAGAGGAGATGATGTATACCTGAAAAATTCCATTTGTGCAGAAGCTTTGAGAGATTACTTTCAGAAACTATTCTCTTTGGGATGATATTTAATGCCTGGTATGTTGGTTATAGCTTATTGATTTATTTTTAATACATCATGATTCACTTACCCTTTTATTGCTATGATTGGAAACATTCACTTTTATGCTGCTTTAAAATGAGTATTAAAACATATAAAAGCAAATATGAATGGTAAGAAGCATGGTGTTTGAAATAGTGTGTATTTTATTAGAAAAAATGTTGTTTTTATACATTTAAGACCACCATTTTGTTCCTCAGAGGATGACTTATTACCATTTGGAAACAAAACCAATGGTTTGGGGAGTAGACTCCATCAACCCATATTCGGCATTTTTCCTTGGATATAGAAATTTTTTAACTGACTATGACAATGAGATTAAAAGCTTGTTAGAACCATTTTATTTTAAAGACTTGTGGTCATTGGAGATTTCTTAATGTGGTCAGCAAAACCTGGAAAAAAAAACCCTAAATATTTATGTAAAGAAACAAAATAAATTTACTCTTAAGATAATGCTGCAACTTAAAATAAAATCACAGTCCTTATATTTTTTAAGGCCTCTAGTTCAAAGTCAAACACAACGCAGTCCATGCATCTTTTCTGACTCATCATTTGGCATGCATTCACAAATTTGAAGGGTTTTGGTTATTTTTGCAGATATATGATTAGGATGTAAAAATTCATCATGTAAATACTCTTAATAACCAAGGAAGAACTCTTTAGACAAGTAATTTTCTATGAACATGTAACTTTGAAAAACACATTTTCTTATGTAAAACTTTGGTTGAGTTTAGAAAGATTTAATAGTAACTCAAAGAGTGAGAGGAATTAAATATATATTTTTTTCTATATTTGAGTGAATAGAAAAAGACAGAATGAGTTAAGACTCACAGTATTTTCTCCAATTTGGTTATGAAGAGAACTACTGGAATCCAAGATCTGGTAAAATACAAATGCCATTTGCAATATCTGAAGGTCCCTAGAGGTGTTTGCACCTGCTACAAAATACTTGTCATTTCTTCTACCATTTAAAGGTAGCAACTATGGTGGGAAAATCTTCAGTTATACAGATTTCAAAATGAATTTTTACAACCCAGATGATGGACTGGTATACTTTAAAAGTGAATTCATGAGTTTTATAGACAAATTTCTCTTGCTCTCTTTCTCTCTCTTTTTTTTTTCTTGACTAGCTTACATCATAATGGAGGAATAACATTTTAAAAATTTTGAATAGGCACTTACTGGAATTACAGTTAATCCTGATACAATCTAGATGGGGAAGAATAGATGAAAAATGAAAATTTATCCTTCAAGGTAATAGCTGCAGACATCCAATAAAATCACAGTCCACCCTTCCGGGGACAGACACATGCATATATGGCCACTCCATGTCATTATTCTTTACAAACTTCTAGAACCCAGATTTATTGTTATAAAACTTCACCATTGGAAACAAAAATAGAAAGTTTAAAAAAATGGCCAATTCAAACAAAGCTACATGGTGACAAATCTAAGCGAAATAAAGAGTTGTTAAATTGTCAAAGATGCTTGGCTTAGACTGGCTGCAACTTTCTCTCCATCTGTGAAAGAACATATCATTGTTTTCAGCAAAATTAAAAAGTGCTCCGTCACGATGGGGTACAGTGCAAGCTCAGCTAGGCTCAGACATCTTGGACCTCCAAAATCTAATATCCCACAAAGGCCAACAGAATCCTTCAGAATTGCAGTGGTCGAATAGAGAACAAGTTAAAATTATTTCCATCTCATCCTAATGTTTTTTGTTTTATTTTTTTAATTCTATTTGCTTGGGCACAAAAAGGGAGCAGCCAGTTGTTGGCTGGATTCCATCCTTTGTATTAATTGGAAGAGGAAAGAGACAACCATATGTCTCCTTTAGAAACTCTGGTGGCTAAGGAGTAGTCATTCTTCAGAGTACACAAGCCTATGCCTCTTTTCGGAGCTAACAATGTTATCTCTATGTAATAAGTGTCATGATTAACGGTGCTATTGATTTTCCCTTTTTTATACTTTATATAAAAGAAGATACTATAAAAACAGATGTCTGATGTAGATAACATAGACTGTGATTATAGCGGTTATTTTTAAAGGACTATGTGGGATGTTTTATGTTTATTTCGTATATAGATATATATTTGTTGGTTTTGGTTTTAGTATTTAATGCCTTTGGGGAACACGAAAAATATAAACCTAGATTCTGTTTCCATATAGCTGAGTTTGTCATGTGTCGTCAACCGCATCAGAAAAGTGGTTGCAAACAGCCAAGGACCAGCACCTACACAACTCCTTCTACAGAATGCTTTGCTGTTGGTAAATTCCCACGAGCGTTTACACTTTGGCAAGCAGCTCCTTTGTTTTTATTGTCTTGTAGTAACCTATCATTGTCACTAGAGGGAGCTCTAACAGAACAGTAAATGACTGCTGTGTGTTAAGCAGTACTGTATTAATGCTTTGCTGTTGGTAAATTCCCACGAGCGTTTACACTTTGGCAAGCAGCTCCTTTGTTTTGATTGTCTTGTAGTAACCTATCATTGTCACTAGAGGGAGCTCTAACAGAACAGTAAATGACTGCTGTGTGTTAAGCAGTACTGTATTAAAAAAAAAACTTATTGAAATTAATTTCACTAATATTAATTGACTTTAATTATATACAATAAGGTACCAATGGGTTATTTTTTTATTTTGTGAATTACCATTCTGCCCAGCACAATTTGAAAATATAGGTGGGGTTTTCACCAGTGCCTTATTTCATTATACTTTGCTAATGTTTCTGAAAATCTATGTAGTTTCAAATTTTATTTTTCTCTCTCCGTTTATTAATTTCTCTGTGTATCTGACACTTTTAGGAAGTACAGTAAAACTTCGTTAAATTTTACTCTTCTTATTTGGAGTTAATAATAATATTGAAACTTATTGGGCAGAACATTAATTCTTCATTCTGTGTGATCAGAGATATCCTCAAGAGAAAAAAAAATTAAAAACTTAAACAAAATTTTGAAAGGCCAAGTTTGGGGGGCGGGGGTGGTGCAGTGAACTGATTTCAAGTACTTCATTTATGTTGATGGCACAATTTGCATAAAAAACAATGTGCTAATTATGGATAATTCTCATCCATCTACTAAAATCAGCCTAGTAACCCCTTTTCTTGACAAGACTTTTCCAGCTATTAATTTGTGGTTTTGAATGTAATTGGAAACAATAAAAACTGCTTAAAATTTTGTAACAATTCAGACTTTCTTAATTCAGCCTGGCTTTCTTCCATCAGTCATCCAGATTGGTGAGGTTTTACTGTAGTCACTCTTTCCTGATGCTACAATTAAGCAGGAAAGCATTATCTTTCTGTAGAAGAGCCTGTGTCTTTAGTGTTCACATGGCTGTTTGCTAAGGGCCGCAGACTTTGGGCATTGAAGGGTTGTGGATTGCTGCTTGATAGCAAAATACCACCACACAGTACTCCAAAACAGAAAACATGAGGTACCACAAAGGTAACTATTCAAAGGAGAAGCCCATGGAGTACAACATTAACAACTGTTGATCTAGATAACGAAGCAGAAATTTGATATTTTGTGTGTATATTATCTAAGTAAAAGTAGACATATTTTTATTTATCTGCAAGGGTATCATCTATAACCAATCAAATTGATAGTAAGTATAACAACAGGAAATGCAGTTTGAAACATCTTTAAGCCTAGTAATTTATATTTTCAATTAACCTTATTGATAGAGATGGCTTCCCTTTTAAGAATCCTCAGTGGTAGGAATCGCAAAACAGTAAGTTATGTTAAAAATAATGAAAACAACAAAAAGATGCCCCAAGAAACCTAAATTACTTTAACTGATGGAAATACGATCATTAAGTGTTTTAACTTTCCATGGCAAACAGGCTACTTGATAAATGTTTGCAGGCAAAACTGAACAAAAAATGAAAAGTGTTAGTTCAATGGGGGAAGGCAAGTTGTTACCTAAATTGACCGTCAGTTTCACACGCCCCGCATCTAGCTCCAGGCGAAGGGTGTCTGCAGAGTCTCTGGAAGTGGTTGCCATCAGAATGCCGTATGCACGCTGGGATCGAAACCGTAAGGACACATCCTCAGCCTCTGTGTGCATCACCACTGGGAGCTGGATTTTCATAAACATACTCCCATCATAGCTCAAAACCGTTGCCTCTATAGATGGAAAATGCATATAATAAGGTTTTTGTCAGTCTAGTGCATTTATACTCTCAAAAGGAAAAGAGTGATTAAAGCTTGGAGATAGAACACGAGACTACAAAGTCAGCTCATCTTCAGAAATGAGCATTTTTCCTTTTTTTAAGCTAGAAGGGCAAGCTACAGGAAAGAGAACTTCCTTTGTGAGGTATCTGCTAAAGCCCAGGAACAGAGATGTCAGCACTTCCTTTTTTTACCCGATAGCACAGTCAACCTATAGCTTCTGGATTTTAAGTGTTTATATGAGTGTATGTGTCCCTCTTCGCAAAAGCATAGATCATGTTCTTTCATATAGCCAGTGTTAGCCTGGTTTGAAACACCAGCAACTATGCAATGCATGTTTATGTACAGTGAGGCCATTGACTAGCTCTGTGAAATTAGCCAATTTTTCCTTGGCTCTGAAATCTTCATCTGCAGAATGAAAGGATGCTACTACAAGATCTCTAAGGCCTTGGCCCGCACTAAAAATCCAAGGTGTTAAGAGAAGTTACTATTATTTTTTTCATAATCTCTGTCCTAATAGAATTATTGCAAAAGGAAACAAAAGAAAAGAAAGAAATATGACTTAAATATAGAGGTTAGACTTTTACCAAGTATTTTACTATAGGTGATGTACAAAAAGAAAGAAGAAAAACTGATATCACCAAACAGCAGTGATGCTTCCTCTGAGCCACTATGTCTAACACAGTTAAAGGTAATTTTTACAAAGTCACAAACTATAACTTCATTTTTAAGTTCATTTACTTAAACATTAACTTAAAAACACTATCTGTAAACACAACCCTGGTATCTGAAAATATTAAACTAACACCAAAAATTCAATAACTACATCCCTTGGAACATGTGTGGGGGATGTGTCACGAAACTAAGGTAAATTGCGTTAATAGGGAAGTTGCTTGATACTGTACTAAACACATAAAGAAGGAGATAGAAGCTATTCATGACAAACTGGCTGCTTTAAGAAACAGTTAGCACTTCTTAGCGTTAAACACCATATGCAAGTGGAACAGTGCAAAACAAGTGGGAGTCATTTTGCTTTCTCATTGGTTCCCTTAACTCAAAATGCCATTGAATAAAAGGAATTAAAATAAACAAGAAATTCTCATTATCATGGCTATTTACAAGGCACAGCAATGAACTTTACTGATACAGCCATGTCTGTTATTAAGACTCTATTCTGGAGTTGGCTTTGCAAGTTTATCTTGTAGAAAGTCAAGTACTGTTACTAACAGACTTTAATCATTATTTGTCGTCATCTTGGGACTGAATGTGCATCCAGAACCTTTAAGCACTGAGCGTTCCAGGTCTCCCTCTTTGGCTCCCTTCTCTTTTCCATCTCAATCTTGACTTAAGGAATCTCGGTCAACTCACATGCTTAGTCCTTCTAATATCAATCAAAAGCCCTGACTTTTCTAATGAGCGCCATCATCCATCTTTCACCCATTGCCTATTTGACAGCTCTAATTGGAATATAATAGGTACCTTACTAAACACTTTATTCACTCCCCTCAACAATAAACAAACTCCAAACATGCTTCTTCTCCAGTCTTTTCACCTCAGTAAATGGTATAGACAGCCCCATTGCTGAGTCCCAAAAGTTTCTGGTTTTTCTCTTACCTTCTCTGCCATGTTCAATTTATTTGCAAGCTTTATTCACTCCCCTCAACAATAAACAAACTCCAAACATGCTTCTTCTCCAGTCTTTTCACTTCAGTAAATGGTATAGACAGCCCCATTGCTGAGTCCCAAAAGTTTCTGGTTTTTCTCTTACCTTCTCTGCCATGTTCAATTTATTTGCAAAACTGCAAGTCTAACAGGCTCTAACTCCAATCCATTTCCTGAATTGAGCGCATCTCACCTTTACTGCTAAAGTACCTCAAACTCTGCTCCCATCTCTTACCTAGACCACTATAATAGCTTCCTCAGTGGTGTCCCTAATTCTATTCTTTCTCCCCACACAGAAGCTGAACTAAAATTTAAAGAAATAAATCATAGCATATCACTCGAATGCTTAAACTACAACTCTCCCCAATAGTTTCCTACTGCAGTTAATAAAATCTCTACTCCCTTTTTTAACTTATAAGGGTCAGTGTGATCCTGGCCTCAGCTTTTAGCATCTCCCACCTCATTTAGTAAGCTCCAGCCACACCAATTTCATGCTCTCATTGAAGTGTTTTCTACTTGTGGATCCCTCTGTCTTGAAAGGTTGTATCCCAGATCTTTAAATGGGTGATTCCTTCAGCATTCAGGTCTGTGGTCAAATGTTGTTTCAAAGAGACCTGCTCCCTCCTCCTGTCATTCTATATCTAATTACCATTTTATTTTTTAATTAGCATTTCTTATCTGTTTGTATAATATTATGTGTATTTGCATTTTAGAATACACAGGCCTTGAGGGCAGAGACCAGCCTCTCACATGCATTGTTCTAAAGCAGCAGGTGCCCCAAAAGAACCAAGAACACAGCTGAGCCTCCAAAAATACTTATTGAATTGATGGTTACACTTGATACTGAAGATATATGAAAGAGCTTATTTCAATTTGGATATCAAGTTTACATAAATGCTCACCAAAGAAATTAATATTTATTTGGCCTATTGTAAGTGAAATCTAATTTCAGTAATGTATGTGAACAAAACATTTATTAAAGTCTACCTTGAAGGTCATAATTGGGCTGCAAAAGACAGACTAGGAAAGATGTCTATGTATCAAAAGAGGGGCCTTGTGGTTAGGCAATGACCTAACCACTGAGAAAATAAAATTTGATCTTAAAATGTAGTGATTCTACATCATATCATATATTTTTCCAATTAGATCGGAAGTTTTCCAGATGGGAGCAATATCGCGAAAAACAGAGGCTAGTGCAGATAACAGAATAGTAATTACTGAAGAAACAAAGCATGATTGTGAAGTTGTGATGAACTCTAGAAAAAAAGAAAAGTTTCTTACAAAATTTTAAAAGAAGTTTAATTTTACTTTTTCTTTTCCTAAACTATAGCCAATCATGGTCCGTATCTTCAAAGCAACATATACCTCAATAAAACTTAAAGCCAATTAGCTCAGTCGGTTAGAGAATGGTGCTGAGAACACCAAAGTCCAGGGTAAGATCCCTGTGGCCAGCCACAAAACAAAAACAAAAACAAAAAACAAAAATGAAAAAGCTTAAAAGCCATTATCAATTGTTCAGTTACTTTGATACAGATAGAAGGATGAAAACATTGTTCGTTTTCTCCTTCTATTTATTTAATCTGTATGACTAGTCTCTATTATTCAACAATCACATTTTTAAAATTGTGTCATATTCTTCTAAGAGAAGTAGCTTAATTTGATTGAAAATGAAGTTGGAAGACACATCCTTTTAGAAACATACTTGATTGATAATGGATCATAAATGTAGTATGAAATACAATCTGGATTAGAGTAATAATCAGGATCATTGGCCCTTAACGTTCTCCAAAAAGCTACAGGATTGAAATAACATAGTAAAGTAATAAAACTTGAGTGCCCCTGAGAGCCATTTTAAATAATTCTCAATGTGAAAATAACTTGTTGATAAATGACAAATGAAAGCCTAAATGATTCCTCATAATTAGAGCTAATGTTTAATTAGACAAGAAATGGGGAATGCACAAGGTAGTAGTCCACAGTTGCCAAATAAATGGTAAACAGCATTCTGACATTTGAAGGTTATGCTATTTGGCAGCATCTTTTAACATTAGTTATTTTATTATTTAGAGTATAAAAGAGTCCTTTAAAAAGGTAATCCCAGTATAATACTTCCCAGTGGGGAAGAAAAATAGTTTGAACTTTGTCTTCTATATTACCTTTTCCCTTGTCATTAAGTTTGATAAATTTGCTTTTCTGCATTATTCCTTGGTGCAGTCTAAAGTGTACACCTGTGCTCAGTTTTGCCGAAAGGCAGTCACATATTGTGATCAACGATGAAAATCAGACAGGGAGCCAAATTATATTGCTCTGACATCTGTCCCTCCATCTGTTAGATAACAAACAAGTATAAAGTAGACCTCTGATTATATCAATGCTCTTATTTTACATATAACTGAATCATTTCTTTATGATCAAGTCTCCACAAATTCTTAGTTTTATTAAATATAAAGCAGGATGGAAGGTGCTAAACTTAATTTACATTCATTGAACATTATTTCTGTATTACTCTTTCCTATAGGACCAACACACATAAAACAAAATGCTATTTTCCTATTTGTCTAAGTTAGGAAATATTTTGTTCTTTCCTATCAATGCCTTTGTTTCCTTAATTCAGGATGAAAATTTCCTGTGATATGATTGCGACATCATTCTCCATGCTGCAGTGTCCAAGGATTTGAACATGCTTTTTAGTTATTTTGATAAATAATCTTCTTAAATTATCAATTATTGTTCAATATTAATAAAACAGAAACTTTCTAAGTGCTCTTATTTATTTATTTATTTTTTAAATTTCAAGAGTTGTCAGTTGACTCTTAAGTGATCAACAGCCCATGTGATTAGAGTGTATCTGGAGAGAAACCACAGTCAAAGGCCATTTTTTTGAATTGGTAACTCAGAAGCTCAGGCACGATCCCTTAAGTGATCAACAGCCCATGTGATTAGAGTGTATCTGGAGAGAAACCACAGTCAAAGGCCTTTTTTTTGAATTGGTAACTCAGAAGCTCAGGCACGATCCTGTGTTAACTGAACTAGGGCATAGCTGGGAACTGGACAGAAACCAAATTTTGTGCTATTGGGCTGGATAACCATCCCACATCTCCCTTGCTCCCAGGAGGAGCCATAAAGTGAGCAAGAAAATTAATTCTGAAGAGTGAAGACTTCTCAAAATACAGGGAGTGGTCCAGAAACAAAAACCATACAAAAAATATCTTTTTTGTCCTTAACATACAACCAACCTGGAGACAAAGAAATCTGTAGAAATTTCCAGCCACCTGTCAAATAAAAACGTATGCCGAATCCCAGTGATGAAGTTTGCTGTTAAATTCTCATTTGCAAATCTGCATATCATTGCCACAGTTCCTTCTAATTACTGCAATGTGTAAATATTCTCTTTCCCTTATTCTGGCTCAGAAAGCTCTATAGTTTCTATTTTTATTTTTGCCATATGTAGTAGCAGAATATTGCCACAGGGTGGTACACCATTCATATTTAACTGAAGGCTTTCGTAATTCATGTGACAGTTCAGTTATACCCTTTCCAGCTTCACTTAACAGGAAGCATCAGAATAACTGGCAGCTCCCTGGGTGATAAAAATTAAAACAAAATCTTAAATCATGCAGGTCTGCTAATCTCATGTTATGCTTAACTGTATTATACCTGTAATCTTTGTTACTTTTTTCTTTCTTTTAGCAATTTCCAAAAGCCAAACTAAACAAACTGAAATTAAGAAGAAAAGTACAAAGAGGAAATTTATGAAGAATATATACAATACAGGCCAAACTACACAGAAATAGATAAGCTGTAATAATAGTTCACAGGAATTGCAATTAGGTAATATCATAAGGAGAGTAAATACATCTATGTGATAAAATACCCATCTATTGACATAGCTAATTGTATGACACAGACTAGTGATAGCATTTTGGTAAGTAATTTAACCTGTTATTATATTATTAACTTATTATTATTAATTATTTATATTAATTAATGTTAATAATACAATTGATAAGCTGATGTACCCCCTTATTAAGATAAGAGCCAAAATTACATTTCAATTTTGGTTTTACAAAATAACCACTTTTTTCTCTAGGAAGTTTTAGTTAAATGAATTAAACTTTCAAGAATGAGAAAGAAAAAGAAAAAAATAAATGTGCATGGCTTAAAAAAAATAACTGCCAGTTACTTTTAGGCTAAATGTCTAATAAAGCAATGCTATTTGTAGTATGAGAGGACAATGGAACAACTCACTCACATTTTCTTATGTTGATTTTTAGTTCCATTGTTGAAAATAAGTGACAATAAGTGTAGTGACTAAAGCATTTATCTGAAACACTGGATCAATGAAGGGATAGGCTTAGAACTATTTGTTCTGCTATTTCTTCTATTAGCCTGGTCTGCAGATCAGCTGTGACAACTATCACCCTCCAGTCTTCCTCTAACCCTTATACCTCTCCTTCTAATGGGAGAGGAAAAGAAAAAAAGAAAGAAAGAAAAATGTAGCTTTGCCTCCTACTGGAGGAGAGAGAGGCACCTACTCAGAACTTCAACAGACATAGCTAAGCCTTAATATCAAATGGTTAAATCAATCTTCTGTGATTGGTTAAGTCCTAGCTAAAGGTAAGTACCTTTGAAATTAGGGTGAACTTCTGAAAATGTTGGTATAACTTAGAGGGTGAACTTCTGAAAATGTTGGTATAACTTAGATAATTTAAAGTTAGCATACTTTTCAGAGATTTCACGTCTTGGGCAAGTTGACTGAAATGAAATGAGCAGACTAATCTAAGTCTCATCCAGTAGTGTCAAAGAAGCTGCAACTTACAGCTTAGCTTGCCTCCAATGCTATTTTGTAGCATGGATATTAGCACTGATGCTAATATGTCTAATTCCTATTCCTGAAGTTCAAAACTGGGTGAGAGAAGAAGCTGCAACTTACAGCTTAGCTTGCCTCCAATGCTATTTTGTAGCATGGATATTAGCACTGATGCTAATATGTCTAATTCCTATTCCTGAAGTTCAAAACTGGGTGAAAGAGACAGCAGTTATTATCTATAATACATCTTAGGCTTATATCCTAGAGGATACTACAGATTCAGGTTTTTATTCCTGCAGTATTCTTAAAGAGCTGTGTCTTTCCAAAATCAGATCCTTTGAAAATCATTAAAAGCTCAACAGTAATCCATGTCAGGTGTGGCTGCTTAGCTTGCACAGAGTTTACTTCAGTAGAGCATACATTATGTTTCAATGGTCAGTTCAAGTTCAAGGTCAACATTTAACATACTTTCATCTTGGGAAGTTGGCTGCTGGGTTTTTGGAATCCTACCTCTCTCACAGGACCTGCCAAGGTAGCCTGTTCCGGAACAATCACAGACATATCTGTTCCACCCATCCCTGCACATGCCATTGTTTTTGCAAGGGTTGCTAAGGCACGGTTTTGCTGTTTCCCTTGAGCAGGAGGGCTTCACTCCAGCAGTACTTTGAACTTCAGCCATTTGCCGGATATCTTTGCTCTGGCCATCGATGAACAAATCCCTGATGCAGCCCACGTAGCCATAGTTGAGCAGAGCAGTCCACACCTCAGTGGGGAAGACAAGGCCGGCCTTATTTTCTGGCAAGCCTCCCAGGTACAACTCATCATCCAGGTCCAGAATCTCACTCTCGCCAGGAGCAGTGTAGGGCGTGCGCAGTGTGTTGACAGAAATGGTACCTGTGGCAAAGACAAGAGAATCCATAGGTCTTTACAGAGAACAGTATCTTCTCATCTCCACCCTTTCTCTCTTTCATCTGCTCAAGGGTGAACTCCTTGAGAGCAGATATTTCTCATTATTCTTTCTATCCCCAGTGTCTTGTATTTCTCAGTGGAATTAAGAAATCTGTGGAATTAAGTAACTTTACAGATGAAGCTGACTGTAATTAAAATAGTTCTATTTAACTTTGAGAATCAAAGTGCACAGGCAACTAGTAGTGTTATCCCCAGTGTCTTGTATTTCTCAGTGGAATTAAGAAATCTGTGGAATTAAGTAACTTTACAAATGAAGCTGACTGTAATTAAAATAGTTCTATTTAACTTTGAGAATCAAAGTGCACAGGCAACTAGTAGTGTTTGTCAGCCTCTAACAGCTCAATCAATCAATCAATCAATACACAAAAATAAAGAAATTTGCTTTCTATATCACTCACTCTCTGGAATAATGTCAAACTTCCCTTGGTTAGTGCTTGTTTTCAAAGCCACTATGCACCTGCCAACCAAGGAAATATTGTGTTACCATTTTTTACTTGATTGCTTTGATTGAGTACAATAATTTGACAGATTATCTATGTCAAAACCTTACTTCATCATTCCCATGTGTATGAATCTATTGATTAATCCCAGTGGTTTTGGTTTCCTTATCTATAACATGGGCACAATACTATGACATACTGATAGGGTTTTTTCTGAGTGTTAAGTAAATTAATATTAGTAAAGCATCTGGTTTATAGTAAACACTGCATAAATGTACAGTAGTATATTTCAGTAAAAGAATCAAGTAAAATTAGTTGCTTACTTCTTTTTAAACCAAATTAGTTACTTATCTAAACTGACAAGATTTTCTTTTCCTCACGTCAAACACCAGGAAGAAAACTCTATTGGTTTGTAAATATGCAGGAACCCAGGCCCTAAGTATAGGATGAACAATATTCATCTACATGGGATTATTTGAGGATCACAAAAAAACTGTGAAATCCATGACAAAAAAACGAGGGATTAAATGTGTATTTCTGATCAAATTTGCATATATACTGTCAGATTACCAAAAATTCCACCAATATTCTGTCTCCAGAAAAACCTTTGTAAAAATGCAAAAGGATGCCTGAATAGGACACCAAATAGACCCATTACCACATTATCTCAGATATGTTTTTCAAGTCAGATCATAAAGCATATTAGGAAGAGCCTGATGAGAGACAGTTTTAGAGAAGATCTGAAGGCATGCTAGGGTGTGGCATAGAGCCTGAGGTATTTATGGAGCAGACAAAAGACAGACCTGGAGACAGAAGGTAGAGCACAGAAGTGGGGACAGAAAGAGGAAGTGGAGAGTGGATGGGGATAGGGGGAGGGGGAAGGAAGATGCATTTTAGTTGCTTCACAGAATACCTAAGCCCGGCCCCAAGAGAAAACACATATCTGACTGTGGACACAGGGCTGCTGGCCCCTGCCTTCTGCACAGGAGTTATTCCAAATCCCAGGAGAATGGCACTCCTGCATCTGGGCAGCAGAATGGGAGCTGTCTTTGTGAGAAAGAAAAGCACAAAAGCCATTAACAGAGACTGCCCAGCCAGCCAAGTCATTAAGAGGACATTTGTCTCTCTAGACTCTCACAGAAGGAAATGGCAAAAGCTCCTAGGGGAGAAACACTCAAGGGCGCTGCTATTTTGACCTTCCAATGAAGGGAGCATAAGAGAGATTTTTGAGGGAAACAGAAAAAAGAGAGAAGGACAAAGTGTTTATTTGTCCTGTACACATTTGTGCATGTATCTATAAGACAACTCTCATTTAGGAACATATAGGTACCATAAAGTTGTATTTAGAAAACTATAAAGAATGTCATTTGGGGGAAATGAAATATATAATACTGAGAGAGAATGGTGATTTTATTTTTTTAAATAGAATGATCATTGCATGTATTTTTAAAGCACTGTTGTATGTACAACATTGCCCAAAATGTTCTGAGAAGTGAATTAACAGATGGTACCTATCCTCTGAAGCAGCTAACATAAATCAGAAAATAGTGAGAAAGAGTGAGTATTAATGACAAAAGGAAAGCTGGATCTTGAAAAAAAGCACATATTAACATGGAAAGCAAAGGGCTACACGCAATGAACACAGTGACATGTTTTTAAGATAAAAGAGAGATATGTTACTGTTTTCTAATTAGTTCAAGAAGGCTTCTTAGTAGCAGTAGAAGTTTTGAAGATTTGACTAAATGAATATATACTATAGAGAGGAATTGTTAGGAGAGACAGATCTTAGCAAGTGAACAATGGCAAAGTATTACAAGAGTGGGAATATATTTTTTATAAATGTATCCACCCCATATGTCTTTTTATTCATGGACCAACCTTGATTCAGCTCAGGTAGGTACAAGAGTGGGAATATATTTTTTATAAATGTATCCACCCCATATGTCTTTTTATTCATGGATCAACCTTGATTCAGCTCAGGTAGGAAACAAACAAACAAACAAACAAACAAATAAACTTGGAAAACTGTATTGTTCTTATTCAGGATGCTATAATTCTGGCACTAAGAGGATGCTTGGAGGATCCCTGAGACAAGGGAATTCTTTGGCTTGCATGACACCTGCTCTCTCTGTCTCCACCATGTGGTTTCCATAACCCAGTGCACTGTCTACACTCGCAGGGACAGAACTGCCACCAGGTATTTCAGACAATCATCCATGGACATTTGTCTGACAGTGAGGATGAAGCAACTGGTTCTCTTGATAAAAATCAAATATTTGGTGTGTTTGACCTGGTTTAAAGACAAGTGTTATAAGAAAGTTCAGATATGTTTTTATGAATGTGCTTGTTGACATGGCTAGAGTAAGATACATACTGTTACTTTATCATTAGACTAGAGTTTTCTGTTCACAACTCATGAAGTGAGACCACAGTTTTCACGTAGCCCAATACACACTTAAACACACATACGCACAGAGGCACACTTATACACACTGAAACAAAAGTTTAACAGAAAAATATTTAACTCTACTGCCTCTGAGGCACTCTGATATTTTCTCTCCTATTGTATTGTTTGATTAATACAAATGCTGAATCATCAAGTGAATTTCAGAACCAACTAACAAGTTGTAGCCTACAGTTCAAAAAATACCAGTTGAGAGATTACTGTCATAAAAGATACATATGTTTCTCTCTTAGTTCCTTACTATCCCTTTGAGTGACAATTGTAGAGTTCTCATGGATAAAAAGAGGTAATGGAATATGGAAGAGAAAGAAAAAGGAAAATATATTTTTTTTTCTTTTTTTTGTTTTTGGTGGCTATAGAAGTAAATGTAAATGTAAACAATAAATGTAAAAAAAAGGAATATAATCCTAACATCAACTCAAATATAATCCAAGAACACACACAAAAAAATCCGGGGGGCGGGAGAAGATATAACAACTACAATTACTTGAAGTTGATACGACAAGCAAACAGAAAGGACATTGTTGGGTGGGAGGGAGGAGAGGGAGGAGGGAGGGAGATTTTGGTAAGGGGCAACAATAATCAACCACAATGTATATCGACAAAATAAAATTAAAAAAAAACAAACAAATATAATCCAAGAGGAATTAGATCATTAATTTAGCCCTGGATTCAAGTTAAAGAGACATATTGGGCAAATGGAGGTATCAGGTATCACTCATTGGAATATTCTGCAAACTAACAAGAGAATAAAGAAAATATGACTGAAAATCATATACTATTTTTTATAGTCTTTTCCAATCCATGTGCAGGTATATTTTAGAAAATTTTGTAAAAAAGATGGCAAATGAACACAAAGGATAGAACTTAAGTGGGAATGGAAGCAATTATTTTTATATTTTGAGGATTCCCAGAGTAAAAACTATTTGAAATAATTATTATATTTTATTACTGAGTCAAAACCAAATAGATAATTCACATTTTAGCCTATTCACAGGCAAATGTCCTGAATTTCACACACATTTCTGATAAGGGATTTGAATCCCAAATCTCCATAATAAGATTTTATTATGGAAGTGAATCAAAGGACTTACTCACCTAAGCAAAAGAGTCACCACAGCATCTGAATTAGTTTAAGCTAATTTAACACATACATATGAGTACAGTGAAATTTGAATGTTAGGGTTCCCACATGCTTATTTCATTACGATAGAGTTATAAATGCAGTGGTTACAGAGAACACATCAAATGAATTTTTAACCCTTCTTCATTGACCGCCAAAGACAATTGAGTAGTTGCCACAGCTGTCTGTAACAACAGAAAATGAGAATTTTCCAAAGGCTGTATTAAGACCACAAGTAAATTCATTTTTAAGAGAAAACAAGACTCTGCGTTTACAAGGGTACTTTAAAAAGTTCCTAGGAAAACAGAATTAAAAGGTAATAGCAATCTTTCCATGAACTTTTTGAAGTACCCTCATATTATTAAGTTATCTTCCATCGTTTTTCAGGAACCACAAATATTTATACGTTCTCTTTGGAACAGTTCGATTCTTTCATACATTCTACCTCTTTCACTATAATTACATTTGAAGTTTCTGGTCAATTAAATAAATATTTTATGTAAACATTGCTGTTTTTGAGCTGTTAAAATTTGTGGATAGTAGTTGTATTTGGGGACTTATTTAGATTAGTACTTCTTGCTTCAATATTTAAGAATCCAAAGCAACCTGCTATGTTATTTACATTTTAAAGGAACAAAATTGTAGCTAAAAAATAAACATACATATGACATATAAATTGTAATGTAGCAACCGCATGACATTATATTAACATTTAAACCTTTTATTTCCCCATGGTGCACGCAAAGGCAAAACGAAGCTGATAAATAAACAAGGTAATATTATATTAAAATATTCACAAATAAATTATAAATAATAAATTCACCTGTCATGTAAAATTGTATATAAAGGGGAAAAAAACTATTGAAAATAGTTCTCAATTATGAAGGTGGAAATCAGC